CTAAATGAAAATCTTACTGGGTAGATTATTCTTGTAGGTTTCTCCCTTTCATCATCATGCCACTCTCTTCTGGCCTGCAAAGTTTCTGCTGAAAAATCAGCTAATAGACTCATGAGAGTTCCCTTGTATGTAACTTGTTGAAAGCCTGTTTCCCTGAAGGGTTTTTTTTTTGTTTTTAACATTTTCTCTTTATCTTTAATTTTTGCTGCTTTAATTATAATGTTTTTTGGTGTAGCCCTCTATGACTTGATTCTGGTTGAGACTCTCTATGTTTCCTGGATTTGGATATCTATTTCCTTTCCAGGTTGGGGAAATTTTCAGTTCTTATGTCTTCAGATATGTTCTCTGACCCCTTCTCTCTCTCTTCTCCTTCTGGGGCTCCTCTAATGTGAATGTTAATATACTTGATGTTGTTACTGAGGCCTCTTAATTTCTCATTTCTTTTTATTATTTTTTTTACTGTTTCAGTGATTTCCACTATGCTATCTTTCAGCTCACCAATGCATTTCTCTCTATTATCTACTCTAGTGCTGATTTCTTCCAGAGTATTTTTGTTTGTTTGTTTTAGTTATTGTAATTTTCATCTCTGTTTGGTTCTTTATATTTTCTAACTCTTAGTTTAATCTTGTTCATCCATTCTTCTCCTGAGATTTTGAACATCTTTATGATCATTATCTTGAATTCTTTACTGGGTAGATAGATCACTTATCTCAATGTTACTTAATTCATTTTGGGGGGACTTTATCATGTTCCTTCATTTGGAATATATTCCTCTAATTTGCCATTTTTATTCCTGTATATTTGGTATGTTGATTGCTTCTTGACCTTGGAGAAGTGAGCTTTAGAAGGTGCCCTATATGCCCCAGAAGCACACTTCTCTCCGATCACCAGAGCTACATGCTCTAGGGGGGTCTTCCCACGTAGGCTGCATGGGTCCTTCTGTTGTAGTGGACTTACTACTATAGGTGACCTCCAGTCTGGCTGTCTTCCAGGCCTGCCTTCTGTAGAGGTTTCTGACTGTTGATGGGCAAGGTGGGGTCATGAAGCAGCTTGCTTTAGAACTCAAGGAACCTCAGAACTTGTGCTGGCCCACTTGTGGGTGGAGCTACCTTTTAAGGTAGGTGGTTGCAGGGCTGGGCATCCCAAATGTGGCGTTAACTTGCTAGTGGGCAGAGCCTGTTTTTTTACAGAGCTATCTGTGGAGTCTAAGTTGTTTCAAAGCTGGTGTTGGCCTATTGGTCAGTGGGTCTGGGTCCAAGGCCAGTTTTCTGAGGGGTCTAGAGTCTTAGAACTGGTATTGGCCTGCTGGTTCGTGAGGTTGGTGTCCTGGGGGATCCTAGGGCTGATGTTGACTTGCTGGTTGATAGAGGCAGGACATGGGGCCTCTGGCTACAGGGTCCTGGGAGTCCTGGGGGAGCTGGTGTCAGCTCACTAGTGTATGGGGCCAAATCCTGGGGCAGTTGGATGAGGGGCTCAAGGTGTGCCAGGGCTGGTGTTGGTCTGCTCGTGGGAGAGGCTGGGTGACCTTTGGGGTTGGCGCTGACCTTCTTGTAGGTGGGCGGTATCCTGACATGGCAGGCTGGGACGCTGTGATGGTCCTGGTGCCCACTGGTATATGGAATGGGGCACACAGCATTCTGGGGCTGATGCCTGCCTCCTGATGGGTGGATTTGCATACAGAGTTTCTGGTTGCAGAGACCAGGGGCTCCTGGGCCTAGTGCCAGTACACTGGTGTGTAGGACTATGTTCTGGGGCTTTTGATGAGTAAGGCCAGGTCCCACCATTTCTCACAGTCTTCTTCCGGCTTTCCTGAAAGGAAGTCCCACTGGCCTTCAAAGCCAATTTTTTCTGGGGGCTTGTCTTTCCACTTCAGGACCCCTGGGCTGAGGATGCCTATGTGGGGCTTGGACCCCTTGCTTCTTGGGAAGAACTTCTGTAATTATCATAATTATTGTAACTTTCTTCTGTTTGTGGATCACCCACTTAGGGGTGCGGGTCTTGAATGTACCACATTGCCACCCCTCCTACTTATCTCATTGTGTCTCCTTCTTCATATCTTATAGTTGTATATCTTTTTGCTAGTCTTCCAGTCCTTCTTGTAAAGAATTGCTTTGTAAATAGTTGTAGTTTTGGAGTGCCCACTGGAGGAGGTAAGCTCAGGGTCTTCCTACTCCTCCATACTACTGGTCACTCTTTTGTTGAGTGTATCTTTGATTAGCCTTTCTAGTAGTTGTGTTGGTTACATACATATCCAAGTCTACTGATGACTACACTTTACCATTTCAAATTAATTCAAGAAATTTTACCTCCTTTTATGTACCTTTACCCTATCCATTTGTAATAAAATTATCTTACATGTTCTCTATATATATTAAAAATCACATTAGGCTATTCTTTTCTTCAATGATAAAGCATTATTTAAAGAACACAAGAGATGTAAATTTTGTGTTGACCTATGTTTTTGCCCTTATCATCTTCTTTCTTCCTTCCTGATATTTCAAAGTTCTTTCTTTTGTTATCTCTTTTCATTTTAGAGAATTTCCTTAGCCATTCTTTCAGGATAAGTTTGCTGGCAACAAATTCTCTTACTTTTCCTTCATTTGGGAATGTTTTATTCTCTCTGCATTCCTAAAAGATATTCTCACTGGATTTAGAAGTTTGGTTTAACAAATATTTTATTTCAGTTCTTGAAAAATATTGTGCCATTTCCTTCTGGTCTTTATGGTTTTTGATAATAAGTTTTTATCATTTGAAGCTTTTCCCCCTATTACTGTATTAGTTGCTCAGTTGTGTCTGACTTTTCATGACCCCATGGATTCTGTCCATGGAATTCTGTAGTCAAGAATACTGGAGTGGGTTGCCATTTCCTTCTTCAGGGGCTTCTTCCTGACTCAGGGATTGAACCCAGGTCTCCTGAATTGCAGGTAGATTCTTTACCATCTGAGCCGCTAGGGAAGCACTTTTCCTCTATAGGTAATGCATTGTTCTTCCTCTAACTGGTTTCAACATTTTTGTTCTGTCTTTAATTTTCAGAGGGTTGATTATAATATGTTTTGGCATGAATTTCTTTGGGTTTACCCTATTTGGAATTTGCTTAGCTTTTTGAATCTATAGGTTATGTTTGTCATCAAATGTAGGAGATTTCCAGACATTATTTCTATGACTACCTTTTCAGCTTTTACCTCTTTCTCTTCTTCTTCTGGAACTCCAGTGACACAAAAGGTGGACTTTTTGTTTTGGTACCATTCACCCACTTGATGATATTTTGAATGTTAGTCTTTTTCCCAATATGCATAATACTATTTACTTTCAAAGTCATGAAAGAGCTGCTTTGTGCATTTTGTATAGATTTCACACTTGCAGTCAGTGGAAGAAATCAGATGGGATGTGTTTCCTTCACCTTACCTCATAAAATAAAACTCCTCATTTTATTTTGAATCTTTACCCAACTAGAAGGTCTAGAGAGAAAAAAACAATTTTATTTTTCTAATTCTGCAAGTTCTTGCCTTTCTATACTCTGTCTATGTTCTGACTGCAAAGTGGCTAGTGTTTGACTCTTATCTCTTTTTTACTATCTTACCATATACAACTAGATGTAATCAGTCAACACTTTAAAAACTCTTGCTGCAAATCAGTTTTTCAATGTCAAAAGCAAGTTAATGTTTATTCCCTACGTTACCACGGGAATCAGTTTTTAACAACTTCTGGACCATTAGCAACATAAGCTTGAGTTAAGGGTTTCATTGCTGCTCTTCCAGCCTTATTCTCTACCAAGTTCTGAAGGTGATGCTACCTATTTTCAGGGGTTTGTTTCAGTATAGCCCCACTCTTAGGTACTAATTTCTATATCCATTTGCTTTTGAGGAATGACCACTCCAAAATTAAGTCCTTTAAAAAACCCAACTATTTGTTGTTTTTCATGAACTTAGGGCTCAGCAGCATGGTTTTGCTTAGTGGATTTTAGTTGGGTCTGCTAATGTTTCTGTGGTCAGGTAAAGGACCAACCAGAGGCAATTTAAATAGAACATTATTGGTTTTTCAGGGCAACAGAGGGACACACAGAAAGAACATGGATGCCACTCAACAGGCTGGCATCCATGGGAATCATGTGGTCATGGAGAATGCAACATCTCCTGGCCCCTTGGAGTTCCAAAATCTTAAATATATTCTTACTTATTATGGGACTCCATTCCAGACTCTTTTGCACCTCTCTTGGTGATAAAACATTCAGTGAGACATTCTAATCCATTTCTGGAAGGCTGTTAATTTATTTAGTCTTCTGTGACTCCTGTTAGCTCACCTGGGACTGTTTTTTGAGGCTTCATGAAGGTGAACATCACAGCTGGATTGCTTCTGTCCTAATGAGGTCCTCAGTTTCTCTGCCACTGGCTTGAGTTAAACAGCTTCACGTAACAGCCCTAGACACCCTGAGACTGTCAGGTCCTTCTGTAGAGATCCAGAGATGATAGAAATACAAAGGGATGGTAGTAGACACATTTAAGATGGAGTTGAGTGTCAGAAAGTGTTCAGGGCCTTGAGGCAGGGAAGCCATCTCCAGGCAGTGGGCTTAGCAAGCCACTGTCCTATAAGTAAAACACATTGTCCTTTTTACTTTAATTTGCCTGTTTTTTTTTTATTTTTCTTTTTTTAAGTGAGATTAGGTCATCGCCTCTGCACTGCTTTCTCGAGAACTGACACTTTCAGTGCGAATGAAGCTAATGATGAGAGACAATATTTTAATGTTAATTAGATATTCCATGTGTCTTAGTTCATCAGAGAACCATTGCTCTTTTATGTATCAGATGAAAGCACAGCTCTTGCTTGGAGGAAAACAGAATACACAGAAAAAAATATTTTCAGTTTTGTAATTATTCAAATTATTGTTGCTTTTTAGAAAAATTCAGAAGACTTTGAGAGGGCAGAAGGATACTTAGCAATAACACAACTGCATGGCAGGAAGCCACTGAAGAGCCTCAAAGACCCTCTTCGTTCTCTTTCAGAAAACATTGTTAAAAGCTGTAATCTCCAATTAGGAAACAATCTCTCCAAGAGTTACTCGGAGTGGCCTTGTTAGATGAACGAGAGGTGGTAGGACCAAGCCTCCTTCTGAATGGGCCTACCCAGGAGAAAAGAGCCAAAAAGCATGCAAGAAGTCCCCTGGGTCCTTTGGACTCTAAAGTGTCAACACTCAAGTTGGAAGAAAAACACTGGCATAAACATGGTGAGTAAATACCTCTTTAAGTTCACTTAAAAATGATCAGAAAAATAATGAAGACAATTCTGTTCTCTCTGTGAGTTCCATTTGCCCATCAATAAAATGAACATATTGAACTAACTCAGGAACTCTAAATAAAAGCTGTAGCCTTGTCTTCTCTAACCTCTAAGATATATAGTTCAGTTACCAGGTCAAGGTGGAGGCTTTTAAATTGCCTGTGTCCAAATGATCCTGTTACTGATTGGAGTATGTTGCACCCTTCTGGCAGGTTGTCCTGCCAACTGTCCTCCTTCAGTTTTGGAATTAGCTGACCTCACTTGATAGGTGAATGTGTTTTGTCGCTCAGTCATGTCCAATTCTTTGTGACACCATGGACTGTAACCTGCCAGGCTCCTCTGTCCATGGAGATTCTCCAGGCAAGAATACTGGAGTGGGCTGTCATGCCCTCCTTGAGGCGAATAAACGAGTGAATTAATGGTTGACATTTATGGATAAAAGACTTATTTATTGTTTTTATTTTTTACTTTTGAAGTTTTTTGCAAAAATTTGAAATAATTTTGGATTTACAAGTTGCAAAGAGTCCTTTTACCCCGTTTCCCTTAATGTTGATTTTTTTGCATAATTATGGTAGACTAGTTGAAACATTTATGAATTACTATTAACTAATCCAAACTTTATTTGGATTTCATCACTTTTCCCTCTAATGCCCTTTTCCTGTTCCAGGATCTGATGCTACTGTATAGCATTCAGAAAATTTTATTTTTGTGTGTAAATTCCTTATGCCAGGTACTGTTTGGTTGAATTTATGAATCAAAGAATGGTTCATGGCCCCCACTCTCCAGAAACACATGAGCCTGGAGGTAGAACCATATGCACAGAAAAATTCAAGCATCCTTGTTCCTAGATCATCAAGACATAATGCATGAGGTTTGGGGGCAGATGGTTCAACCTGACCAGGTAAGGCTGTGTATTGGCAGCCTTGAAATGTGGTGGGTATGTGGACTTCTTCACCTCGGATTCTCTGACCAGGACCACTAAGTGTATGGGGTCAGTAAGTCAAATTCCTGAAAAATAGCTCAGCAAGTTGCTCTCCACCATGTATCCAATGTATCTTTCTTTTGCTTCTTTGCATTAGGCAGACTCAACTTGGAGTGTATGTATAATTACTCATTTTCAGAAACAATAACCCAAATAAAATTGGCAAAACTTTTTAAATGATTAACATTACTTGTAGTTAGTGTGGGAAAATGGACACTCCATTGAACTGCCTTTGGAAGAAAAACCTGATGCATTCTTCAAGGGAATTTGTATTTTATGTCATCAAAATATGCCTACTCATTGACCCAGTTAGCCCAAAAGTTACTAGGTATGGTATTGTTTACAATAGCAACACATTAGAAGAAACAAACATTTAGCCAAGATTATTTAGACAAAGTATAGAATACACATATAAAATTAATGCATATCTTAAAAATGAATTATAAAAAAATATTTCATGACACAAATGGTTATGTAATACTACTCCAAAGAAAGAATTTTACAACTAGTCATATACAGTATTACTTATTTTTATTTATATATATGTTTGTATCTTGAACATTTCTCTTACTAAATATATCAGTAGTGCTTTTCTCTGGGAGGTGGGAATTATTAAAACCAGCTTTACTGAGATAAAGTTTGCAAAGCACACAATTCCTACAATTAAGCTGTGCAATTCAGATTTTAGTACATTTACAAGGTTATACATTACAACCTGTAAAAGTGAACATACACAGGTTGTACATTTTCATCAAAGATGAAAAGATGGTGGAGTAGAAGGACGTACACTCATCTTCTCCTGCGAGAGCTCCAAAATTGCAACTCGCCGCTGAACAACTGTAGACAGGAGAATGTTGGATCCCTGAAAAAAGATACCTCACATCCAAGGGCAAAGGAGAAACCTCAACAAGATGGTAGGAGGGAAATTCTAAATGTTCAAGCTGGATTTAGAAAATGCAGAGGAACCAGAGATCAAATTGGCAACATCCTTGGATCATAGAAAAAGCAAGAGAATTCCAGAAAAATATCTACTTCTGCTTCATTGACTACACTAAAGCCTTTGACTGTGTGGGTCNGATGCAAAGAACTGACTCATTGGAAAAGACCCTGATACTGGGAAAGATTGAGGACAGGAGGAGAAGGGGATGACAGAGGATGAGATGGTTGTATGGCATCACTGACTTGATGGACTTGAGTTTGAGCAAGCTCCAGGAGTTGGTGGTGGACAGAGAAGCCTGACATGCTGCAATTCAGGGGCTTGCAGAGTCAGGCAAGACTGAATGACTGAACTGAACTGAAACTTATCATCACAATCTAATTTTAGAACACTTCCTTCACCCTAAAAAGAAATCCTGCAATACAGTTGCTCCCTATTATACTTTCCTACAAGTCCTGGGAACCTGAACCATTAACTTACATTTGTTCCTGTTGTTTTGCCCGTTATGGACATTCCAGATCAGTGGAATCAAGATGTGGCCTTTGGGGACTGACTTCTTTCAGTTAGTCAGTTCAGCCATGGTTCAGCCATGTTGCAGCATGTATCAAGTAATATATTCCTTTTTATTGCTGGATTAAAATAATACACTTTTTGTATATACCACAGTTACTTTTTTTATTCATCATTTGATAGGTGTGGATTGTTTCCTTTTTGTAGCTATTATGAATAATGCTGCTATAAATGTTTGTGTACAACATTGTGTAGGAGCTCTACTTTTACATATTGGGTATATACCTAGGAGTGAAATTGTGAGGTCACATGATAATTCCATGTTTAACTTTTTGAGGACTTCCAAACTATTTTGTAAAATGGCTGCAGAGTTTTACATTCACACCAGAAATGCATGAGGGTTTCAATTTCTTCACATTCTCATCAACACTTGGCATTGCCTGTCTTTTTAAATACATTCACTGTGTTATATGCCAAGTGGTTTCTTAGAGTTTTGCTTTGTAGGTCCTTAAAGTCTAATGATGTTGAACATCTTTATATGTACTTATTGGACTTTGTGTATCTTCTTTAGCAAATTGTCTATTTGGATTATGTGGCCAATTTTTAATTGGGCTATTCATCTTTTTATTAAGTTTGTTATTAAGTTGTATGAATTCTTTTGAGCTTCTCTAGATATTCTTGATATAAGTCACTTATGAGATATATGATTTTCAAATATTTTCCCTCATTCTGTGTGTTACCTTTTCACTTTCTTGATTATATAATTTGTAACACAGAAATTTTTACTTTGACAAAATCCAATTTATTTATTTTTCTCTTTTGTCCCTGCTTCCTTGGTGTCTCAGATAGTAAAGAACATGCCTGCAAGGCAGGAGACCGGAGTTCGATCCCTAGGGTGAGAAGGTTCCTTGGAGGAGGGCATGGCAACCCATTCCTAGTATTCTTGACTAGAGAATCCTGTAGACAGAGGAGTCTGGAGGGCTACAATCCATGGGGTCACAAAGAGTCGGACACGACCAAGTGACTTAGGCTGCATGCTTTGGGTGTTGCATCTGAGAGCATTTCCTAATACAAATCACAAAAATTATTGCGTGTTTTCTCCTAAGAACTTTATAGATTTAACTTTTACATTTAAATTTATTACCAATGTTGAGTTATTTTTTACATCTAAGTGTAAGGTAGGGATACAGCTTCTTTCTTCCGCATGTGGATATACAGTTGTTCTAGCACCATTTGTTGAAAAGACAAATCTTTCTTTATTGAATGGTCTTGGCCCCCTTGTCAAAACTCAATGGAATAGTTGCATATATATATATATATATATATATACAGGGATTTATTTATTGGACTGTTGTCTCTATATCTTATACCACTACCACACTCTCTCAATTACTGCCCTTTGTAATAAGTTGTGAAATAGGTAACCTTGTAGTAAGTTATGAGATATGCGAGTTCTTTTCTAAGATTATTTTGGCTATTCTTGATCATAAATTTCTGCAATTTCTACAAAAATGTGGCTGCATTTTGAAACAGATTTTATCGAATCTGAAGACCAATTTGGACAGTTTTAAGTCTTCTTATCCATGATCATGGGATATCTTTGCCTTTATTTATATTTTCTCTGATTTTTCAACAATGTTTTGTACTTTCCATTATACAAATTTTGTACCTTTTTGTTTAGTTTCTTTCTAAGTAATTTATTATTTCTGATGTTATTGAAAATGAAATTATTTTCTTAATTTCATTTTCAGACTGTTTATTGCCAGTGTATGGAAATTAAATTGTTTTTTGTATATTGATCTTATATTCTACAACTTGGCTGAACTCATTTATCAGTCCTAATAGGTGTGTGTGTGGGTGTGTGTGTGTGTGTGTGTGTGTGTGTGTGTGTATTCCTTAATTGTCTCTGTATACCAATAGAAAAATTTATGCTTTCTCCTTTCAAATCTTGGTGCTTTTCTTTTCTTTTTAGTCTAATTTTCCTGGCTAAGACTTGAGTAGAATATGTTGTGAAGTGGCAAGAGAGTCCTTTTTCCTATTTAAGGGCAGAATACATTCCTCCTCCCACCATCAATTTTAATATTCTTGAATTTCTAAAAATCTTTCTTCCCTTGCTTACACGTATTTGTTAAATTTTATATAAGGTACTAGCACTTTTGCAATTTAAAAGTTAGTAAGAAAAAGGGATAAATGTCAAATATCTTAACAGCTCATATTCGGGGTTTGTGGTGGGACAAATATAAAACAGGAGTCTGAATGACCTGCTTTTGTTGTGGGGACCATGTATTGGTGTTTTCATATTTCTGTTTTCCCTGCTGATCCAAAGAGGCCAACCAACAAGCAGTAGGGCAGAGAGGAGCAGAAGCTATTCATGAATTTGAGAACCACGCCACACTTTCCAAGGAAGCAAGGGAGAGAGAGTACCAGAGTCAGGAAATACACTGCTAAAAAAATGGGTGGTCATAAGCAAATGAATTGGGTGTTGTCAAAAGGGCTTTCTCTGGTGGTTTAGTGGTAAAGG